CTATACAAACCCCCTACGACCTCCCACCTCTTTCCTATGTACCGCCATCGGGATACCCTCGAGGCGATCGTAGTTTAAAATTTCTCACACGGAGCCCGGAAACCACCCGCGCCCTTCCTCGAGGACGACCAACTCATCTACCAATCTGTCCAATCGCGGTTTAGAGGTGACTGCGGCCTGCTAACATTGCTGACGAATTATCTTTTCCGAGTTTCGAGAACGCTGATCCTCTTGACATTTACGTGAGACCTAACTATGTACATTATCGTTAGAACGTGGCTATATTTTCGAACAGTCCTTATTCAGTGAAATAATGAAACGAGAAATTTTCAAATAAAAAAGAAGACACCCTATAAATTAGAAAAAAAGAAAAGATTAAGAAATGATCATTGACCTCTGGTTAGGTAGGAATCAGAGAACTCGGACAAATTTTTCTCAATCGTGCGTACATTATTTATGCAAACTTCTCAATTATTTCCAATCCATTCGGGTTTGGAAGTTAATCATGCATAATAAAAGAATGTACCTTTCTTAGAAATGTTCCGCTGCAAATGAGAGTACAGGAAATACGTTAATCAACCAGAGGGATTGTTAAGGAACATTAGGTCGACTGAAGGGGTGGACGCGGAGGAAAGAAAATGGCCGGCCCGCCATTAATTAATAATAGAACCGAGCGTAGTCGCGGCTGGGAAAGCGAGAAAAAGGACAGTGAAAGAGAGACGAGAGCGAAAGGGAGACGGAAATGGGGGTTGTTCTCTCTTCCACGATCCCCGACTCTTCCTCTTTCTCCCTATCTCTTTCTCTCGTGTCAGTACGAAGGGAGCGAGAAGTAGCTGAGGTGGGTAGGTGGTTGGGGGAACTGGGAATGGATTTTATGCCCAGAGCGAAATATATGGCGGCCGCTATGCCCGGGCAAAAATAATATTAATATCGGAAAGGAAAGGAGGGAAAGTTTCGCAGGCTGGCTGGCTGGCTGGCTGGCTGGCTGGCTGGCTCGCTCGCTCGCTCGCTCGCTGGCCCTGCTTTGGGCAGGGGATATCAAGTATAATCATAATAATAAACGCCCGTGTGGGGCGCCATTGCTGCCTCTGCCACCCTCTCCCGATCCACGTCTTCGTCTCAATCCCTTTCCCTCCCGCTATCCTACCCTCATCACGCACACATACACACGTATATAACGTGCTCGCAGCTCAGACGCACGAGTACGACTAAACCTCTCTCAGGTATTACACAAACGTCTCCTTCTCCACTGTTGTGTTTCCCATGCGCGGTACTCTCTTACGTGTATGTTTATGTGTATGTGTGTGTACCTTGATGCACGTTGCTGTGTCTACGCTGAGCCGACTATACACTCGAGGATTAGATTAGCTTCCACCGGCTTCGTTGCAAAGGCTTATATCCACGGGAGAAATAAGCGGCAAACAAAAATGCCTCTTCCGTCGAAAAACTGCGAAGAAAATCGCGAGCAATTTTTCACTACCGTTGACCCACCCCTCTTCATCCACTGTCCGACCTCCGAGGAATGTCGCGACGTTAGATTTATACCAGGGATCAGAGCGCAAAAGCGACGGTGATTGTTGAATCTTTTGGTTCAGATTAGTTTTACGGTGGCCGTCTATATTGCTGGAACTTCCGTATTGTCGAAGCATATATTGATTTATGGGCGGAATTGCTTCTCGCCGTGGAAATAAACGATGCCTTCTATACCGATATCGGCTTGAATTTATCAACATGTATCAAAAGTTAAATTTAAAATGCATGCGTTCTTATGTTAACATACACGGGCTGAACTTTACGGTGATTGGCATTTCAGCTGAAACTATGTTTGAAGGAGCATAGAGATGCAAAAATAAAGTAAAGCGGTGGTTTTAATTATAAAATCTACGATTGTAAAATATATTATAAAAAAGGGAGAAAAATTTATCATTGGCACATTTTTATGGCATAATTAAGATACTTATTCAACATGTAATTCTTACGAATCTTTTTTAAGCTGGAAGTGCTAATAGTTAATAGTTACAATACCGAATGTAGTATAGTTTGTATCTAGTGAGAAATAAAATAAAGTTTTAATCTTACCATTGTTGTTTTCAATTCATTTATATTGGTCATTATTTCAAATAAAGTTCATCTCAAATAAAAGCATCGTTAAGTTAGAAATTATTCGCTATTTGAAATAATTTGCTTTTATTCAAGATGTGCATTGAAAGATCTATAAATTTTCATTCAAAGAAAAAATTCTTTTTCACGTTTTTAATATTATCATTTTATTCAAAATATGTATCAGAAGATTATTTGAATTATTGCCCAACGCTACTTTCAATGAGAAAATCCCTCAATCTCCTAATTGATCAAGACATTGTACAGATGGGTGCTGGGCTATTCTAGAACGAAGATGTCATTGGACCTATCTCTAATTCTCCTTTGAGCATCCCTCTGTTATCTTTCCTTTTCCGTGTGCCTGTTTCTCTAGTTCTCCCTCACGATTTGTGGAGGTTACGATCAGCGCAGATGCATTTATATCGAATTGCAGCCCGCTCGTATATTGGCTCTTCCGAAATGGAGGCTTTTGTCTTGGCGTGCCTCATAAGCGTGGATTTGCCCTTCGTTTCTCCCTCTCTCTCTCTCTGCGATTCTAGTCATTCTGTAAGACCACGCTCGACCACCCCTGAAGTCAACCCCCCACGTTGAGTTGCCAGAAAAAGGGGAAGGGCGCCGTTATCTAAATCCATCTCTCTCTCTTCTTTTCTTTCACTCTATTTTTCCTTTCGTCGCTTGTTTCGAGAAAGCGAGTTAATGGACGCGCACGTGCACGTTTTTTTCATTATCATACTATTATTTTTGTTTTGCCCGCGCCATAAATTGCTTTTTTTCCGTAGATTTCCTGTGCTTTATACGTCCCACTTCTGCCATTAATGTCAGGAATACTAACCCCTCCCCCTTGACTCGTTTCCACCCACCTATTCCCAACCATTTATTCGTTATACGTGACTTTCCTGACCAGAAACACATTTCACTCTGGTTAGTTATTAATGAACGCCGACCAAGTAAACCGCTCTGTGTATTTTTTCCTTTTGTTTTGTTTCAGAAATACAATATTATGAAGACCGATCACAACTTGCGGTGCCAATTAACACGTTGAGTCAAAGTAGAAATAAACATATTTGGTCAGACACGCGATAAAAATTAATTTCTCAATACAGTACCTCAATTTTCTTTTTCAGACTATTAGTATGATTTAATTGATGTTCAAAGTTATTTTGCTATCTTCGTTCCTTAATTATGACACTAAAAATGCAATGTAATTAAATAATTAAAGAAAGAAAGAGAATACTATTATATTAATAATAGTAAATAGAGTAATCAAGTTTCAAAATGAAGTATTTGTATAAATAATTAGAGCTTCGTGTCTTACCATACATGTCCATTTTCACTATGGCAGCCAGTAGTCAACTAGTAGTTGGTTCATGCACTAGTCAGACAGTGATCAATGCGGACACATTTTTGAAGGATATAAGAGTACGTACACGTTTAATCAATGCTAAAAGTATGAAGAAGTGTATAAATTTGAATCCTTTATTAAATAGGATACCAGCAATTGAGAGTTGTTTCAAGGTTTGGGATCTGTTGCAGGTTATAACTCCCTTATTAGTGCATTGACGAAGAGCACTACATCTGTAAGCCCTTAGATTTTTCAAAGTGCAAACTATGGTACAAAAATGAGTAGTTCTCGAGATATTCCTGACAAACGATTTTGTTCTGTAAACTTTAAACAGCTCTCTCTCTTTTCACTCTTTCTTTTTGCTGTTTTTTGCATGTACCTCATTACAAATTCTATAGCACATTATAATAAACAATGTTCACTTCCTCTCTAGTATTTGAAATCACACAATAACCGAAGCGCAGTCTTCGATAACATAAAGCTCACTGCGATGGAATAAGAACAATCTGTTGCAGAGTATCGAGAAGCATGGATCTTAATGTCTCAAAGAAATCCACGAAATAATTGTGCGGTGGCTGTATATTTTAAGAATCTTCATCGTGATATAAAAACGTGGTCCGTATCTTAGAGAGACAAAAGGGCAGATGACGGTCCCGTGGTACTTTTATATTTCCCTGAAGAAGGTCGCATTGAGAAGGAAGCACTGGCTTGAGAGTATACTCGAACGAACAGCGACTTCCTTTTTGTCTAGAAGAATTCGCGCGATAGGGGTGAATTCTTAGGGACAAAATACTGTCGGATGGGTTACCGAGTACTTGACCCGCTCGAAGGAGCCAGACGCAAAAGGACTGCACTCCGGGTGATTAAAGTAAAGCCGGGAATTAGAGTGGAGGAAACTCCGAAGATGGAGGCGGGCTAGGAATAGCAGTGGCAATCAGTGAAATGGCGGTGAAAATAAATGAATGGAAATCGAGTCTGTTTTTCTCATCCATACTGGACGGGACAAGCGACCGGTAGGACCACGACAGCGAAGTCGACGAACCAGACTATGTCGGTTTCTCGAACAATAAGAACGAATCGTCAAGTTAAGTCGAACCACATTTGTGATTGTAAGAAGCCCATCTCGCAAATCCTGTTCTTCGTTGGACGACTCTTTCGTGGCTACGTGAATTCGCCTGCTGGCAACCATTGAAAACCCATTGAACCGTCTTGGCTTAAGACGAGTAGCGGCAAACAAAATATTCGTCAGAAATGAAGACATTCAGAAAATTACACTCTGTGTTTTGCCAATCAAGAAAAGAATTATCACCTTGTGTAATTTTTAATTACCTAACGCAGTTAATTAGGTTAGCAACTAAATTCCCACCCTATAAATTTTCTGTATTATATATAATTATTTATTACACTTTAATAACAATTAAAAATGTACCTCTAATAATTTTAGATACAATTATCTTTTGTGTCGTGTTAATACGATTAGCCATTTTGAAATCTCATCAGTGTTTAGGCATTTGTATTTATATCCAATTAAATTTAAAAATAATTTCTAGACATAAGATTATAATACGAGCAGTTTGATGAAGAATACAATACACTCTAATAATGTTTTTGACCAAATAAGTTTGAAAAGTGATGTCAGCTTCAAATATTGTTCAATATTTTAACGAAGACAAGCATCGGCGCTTAACGCTGCCAAATCCCATGACAAATCTTTGAAAACGATGGAAAGCAACGCGGGATGAAGAGGAGAGCGTATTACAGAAGCCGAGTCTTTGGCTGTGTTTCGTGTGGAATCCCTAAACTAAACTATACCTCATCCCTATCGGAGAACAACCACCCCTACCCTCAGGAAAGCAAGCTTAATGCCTCGGAAAAAATAACACACGCACACACACGTCCTTTCACCCATCCCCACGAAGCCATCGAGGACCCATGCGTGTCTCCCGTGTCCTTTTTTTTGCCAGCAAGAGGGTGGATATTTAGGGCGACAAAAAAGGACACTCTGTCTGCCGCAGGAAGCCCCCAGAACACGCTGGAATTTCGACCTCCCGCGCGATCGATCGAATCTGCATGTTTTTCTTCCTCGGGGAAAACGATATTGCCTTCGTACTATTGCTGAAGCGGCAATTGTTCAGGGGTTCGAACGAGACCTCGCCGCACCCCGTCCCTCATTTCTCCTCGCCAAACGAAACTTCTTCTCGCATCCTTCGAGTTCGACGAAAGCGCGATTTAAGTTTGGTCGTGTTTGTTGCTGACAGTCTACCGACTGACGATCAACGTAAAAAACGTTCATTATATAAACAGGTAAGATTCTGCTGTCCATAAATGTCTAAAGGTTCTCTTAATAACCGTACAATCATAAGAAGTACCTTCTTCAGGAACTGTGAACTAATTGAATCAATTTTTCAAATCAGGCTGTCAGGAAAATAGGTGGTCGAAGGATGACATAAACATAGGCCCGGAAATGCATCTTCTTTGATGTATAACCATTTTTGGGTAATATAATAGTTGCTCCATAATTCGTATGTAATAAATTGAATAGAAGTCCTAATGTTACCTTTTCAACGACGACTATATGATAGTGTCGAATAACAACTTTCTGCGACACAATTAGGGTAATTAATTAATTTGTATAATTAGCTGGGTTAATTGCATCAGTAAACGAGCTGTATCTTCGGAATAGCGCATAGGTATGGTCAGATTTGTATCCTTCCAACTGGCATGCCCGGGTTACATCGCGAGCGACGTGTATCGCGCAGCAGTATCGTTCGCGCACATATACACGCGTGTGCGCGCACACGGTTCATTGGTCGCACACTCTTTCATTCGCTGGCATCAGCCTCGTGTACACGTGTGTCGTCATGTGTAATCCCCCACCCGAATCGATTCCCCTGAATCGCCCCCACTCGAGTGTCGTGGGTGCGGCTTCGGCCATTTTGGTACCACCTACCCTTGACGCGCAGGTCCAGCACCCTTTTAGGGGATTTGATACACGTACGTAGGCCGACACATACGCACGCGAGGAGATGGGAACGCGGAGAATTAGTATGGGTGCATGCATGCATGCGCTCTCGTGTGGAAAGGTGCTCGAAGTCGCTGAAACTGGAAGAGGGTGGGGGTCAGGGAAGAGGAGCGGATAAAGGTGGTCCGGGAAGGGGCGAGGGGAGGGGGAGGGTAAGCTTATTTCAGAATCCAACGCACGACGAGGAGAGGAGAAAGAAGTAGTGGAAGAAGAAAAGGAGAAAAAAGAGGTGTCGTTTCGAGGAACGTTGAGGGTGGGGAACCGACTTAATTTCTACCACCCCTTCCGACACATTTCCCTCCTACACCCCCTGGCCCCGTACTCTTCCGCGTACCATCGGACCTGCTCGTTACACGTTCCTCTCTCGGTACCGTGTAACTTCTTCTTGGTAGAACACTTTCAAAGGAATTCAAAGGACTCCGGAGTTTACTGATTATTCCTCCCGTTAATTTCTGGAAATGCGAAAAGCAGGCGGGGTGAGTTCTTTCGTAAACTTCTTAGAAATGCTTCTCGTGGAAATGTACTGTCTTTTACGTTTTCATTTTAATAAGAAAAGCAGGATAGTTAGCTTTTGCATTGTTATTTGATCGTTTGTATTGCGTTTTTAAGTAGGAAATTTTTATATCAATACAAATTAATTCGCAATAAAATATTCACTTTATATAGTGAAGAATAATATAAATTTCAAAATTAATGCCACCATCTAATATAAAGTTCAAAGTACCACAGATAACACGGAACTTTGATTAAACAAAACTTGGATAATCGAGACTCCGTTGCATTATTGTTATAATACACAACTTTTACCATAAAACTTACAACAGAAATTGTATCTAAAAGCGAAAACTGATCTAACAATCAACAGTGGAGAACGGCGTTGTACTTGAAGAAGAACAGAAAACGACGCGACGCTCTTGTTCATAGATGGCAGCAGGTGTACATGTGTGCCTTGAATTTACTATTGCCCAGATTATTAAAAACTTAATGAATGTACTTCTGCACGTTATTAATGCAATAATAATATTATTCATAGTTCTCCTTTTTTTAAATTATTGATCATGTTAATTGTAGCGTAAGAACGTAGTTATTTAATAAATACACATAGGGCGCATCCGGCTGAGAGACTTAAAAAAATTATATTTTTCCATTTGAGATACTCGATATTATGATCAAATAAAAATGAATATTATAGAATGAATAATAATTAAAATTTCAATGGTAATTGACGTGATAATAAATTTTATAATCTACAAAGTAATTTAATATTTTCCATCCCCCTTATACACATGCTTTAGAATTTTATCCGATCCAAAAGTTTTCGAAACAATTGGTAAAAGTATGTTTAAACGAAGAACGCTTTGAAATAAGCGGAAACTGTACAGTTTCAAGGAATTTTAATAGCACATTATGAAGTTTAAGCAACGAAGGTGTTGCGAAGCTTACAAAATGTTCCACAGAATTCGATATAAATTTTCATCTTTTCTTTCAAGCTTTCCGTCCTCGTCCGGCTTGCAACATGTTTCCAAGGGGGTGAATAGGTTATAGCAGGGGACGAGGAAGCGTAAGTGCTTTTTGTCGGAAAAATTATATGATAGCCGGCAACGCGAGCTTTTTCCTCCTTCGTTCACCATTCTCTCCACTTTCAGCGTTGGATTAGAAAATATGATTAGCTTCGTGCCAGGAGTTTATTCGGGCTACGAAGCTGCAAGAGGAAGGAGTGGCTGTCGCTCGTACCCTTCGAATTTTATGGATGACCATAGTCCCCTACGTGTCCCGACACAAGAAGTTTTACCGAAAAACGTTTCCACCCTCCCGTGACTAATTTGTACAATGTGTTGCCATTGCGTATAAACATTTCCAAGAGTAGAGATAAACAATCATCGCAAATTACATGTACTCTAATAATTCAAAGAAAACGATAGAAAAATATTATTTTCAATAGAATCGTTATTATACTAATAATGTAAGGTACTAAATTAAAAGCATGACATTTGAAATTTGAAAATGAACTATTCCTATTCTTAATAATTAGAGCTTCGATACGTTTCGTAACAAATACTCATTTTCACTGCGGCAATCAACGTGTTAAGTATTCAAAATGACACAGAAATCTTTTCAAGTAATCAACAAATTGCCAATAAGCCAGGAGCATTGAGAACTACATCGAAAAAAAGGAACAGCGTGTCATAGAAGAGGTACCTATCGTAAACATATGGGGAAATGGAGGATAAGATGAGTATTTCCCAGAGGAAGATCCTCGAGTCGACTCATCAGACACCCAGTACTTCGAACCCTAGGACTGCATAATAAAACCATGCCAATTTTTATCGAGCATCGTGACGCCATTGTTCTGCTCACGACTATTGGATTCCTGGTGCTCCACGTTTATGCGATTTCTAGTATTCCTGTCGCGATGCCCCGCGATAGCTGGATGAAAACTTTCCAAATGTCACGAACAACGAACGTGCATGGAAAAAAACGAATTTTAACGTGCTAAACTGTTAAAGACACTGATATCACCAAATCGACAGTAAAAATATGGTAATAACTAATCCACCGGGATAAAATATTGCCTTGATGATTAGTCGGGCTGTTTGTTTCTTAAGGACTTAATGAATTTAGAAATTGAAATTAATAATTACACTAATTATCATACAACGATAATTGGACAAGTTAGTATAAAATTTTTGATTAAGACACTATTATGCTACTTTGTTGAGTTTAGTTCAATGTGCAACTATTAGCCCTGTGTACATCCATTTTCACTAGAGCAATCAATGTATTAATATTATAAAAGCAGAGGGCTTGTCACGTAAGGGAAGCAATAAGTTAAAAATAAAAGCGCAAATAATAATAATCGAAAAGCGTCGCTTGAACAAAACAGAAATTATTAACCGTGAGATATTGACGTTATGTCACATTTTTTCGATATACTTTCAACGTGCCGCCGGTAAAATTAGATTCCACGGACGCGAGTGGCAAGCAATGCATCGGGTGGGAAGGGTGATCGATGAAAAAAAAAAAGGGCGATCGGTTTCAACCCCATCCATGAAACGTGTTTGCGACCCCAGCGGATGAGAAACGATCTCCTCCCCTACCGTTGAATTTATATCGAGATCGAATTATTGATCTTTGCCAGCGACGACCGATTGCGACGACCCCATATGCCGATTTTACGGTTTTAACGATCATCGACCCCCCCAACCGTCATTTCTTCTTTTCTATTTTTTTTCTTTCTACGTTATCCTTCGTTCTAACGGTTCCGGTAGTCAGTCGCGATTTATCTAGTTCCTGCCAAGAGATACGCCAACACCAAGTAATTAATCAGGATCTAGAGATCTCGTTGAGTCCGTTCAACCAGATGTCCGGCTCCTTTAGAAACGATCGGTCAGTGTCCAGTTTTGTTTTAACTGCGGATTAAACCAAGACTGACCTAACGAGTAACGGTGGTGAGTTTGTTGATAGAAAGTATTAACAATTAATACTGATGTCAGCCGTAGGTATCATTTCTAATCGAGGTGGTAACTACGGTCTAATACTAAACATGCAATATTTCTTATTATCTAATCTCATGATAATTATTTGTCAGCTACTCGTTATATTTCAGATTCTCGAGATTCTTTGTAAAGATAATTTCCGTCCAACGATTTCAGTACCAAGGTTCCATCAATAACTCTGTTGGATAGATTGCAGTGTAACATTTTACAGTACATTTGCTCCGATTCGAGTCGTACCTGATCTTTAGAGTCATAGACAGTATATCTAACCTCGCAAACACGATGATCTCAATTACTCGGAGTCACGTTTTCGGCGTCTCCGAAGGCACATTTCCGAGCGTCGATGGCAATATCTTCCATACGAAATCCCATAAATTACACACCCTCCGCCGTACGTCCATGATATTACAACGTTCCTCGTTATAATAACCTCTGAAAAGAAAGAAAAAAAAAGAATTAGTTTGGGTGACGAGTGTCCGGTCGAAGACATAGCCGAGCCAGTAACCCCTTTGAGCGAGTGGACTCCGAACCCCACCCCGAATTTGTAGCAGGCGCGTGATCTTTAGGGGATGTATGTAAGTTGTGGGCGGTGGAGGTGCTGGTGATGGAAGCAAGGAGAGGTTGGCGGACTAGCGAAACAAACGAAGGCGTCGTGACAGAGTTGGTAGTAGTGGCGGAGGTGGCGGTGGTGGTGGTGGTGGTGAAGGTGGGGCTGACGCGAGGCCGCCGCTGGTGGTGGTGTAAAATATGGATTTACTTCTCCTCCAGCGCCTCGGCCGCTTCCTTCAGGTTCTATGTTCGCGAATGCGGATGCTCGTTTCTATGTACGTACGTGTACATGTGTCTGTATGCGTTTTTCTGGGCTCCTGTGACGTCATACGCGGTACTATCACCCCCCATTATGCGAGCGGCAGAAGGAAGAACGATGGGAGGAGAGGGTGCCAGGACTCGTTTGTTAGACGGGCCTGGAAATCCAGAGGGTGTTTTGTTACTGTTTTCTTTGCACTGTCATACGAGACGCCGGTGTTTTGTCTGCCCGCGTGGAAAGAAATTGCACGGCTAACGGGGCAAACCGGAGGTCCGGAAGGGTGAAGTTGAAACCAGTCGGAGGTAATGTTTTGGTTAAGCGCGAACCCGGAACATCGCCACTTTTTGCGAGTTTAAACGATCCCCGCAATTGGCTTCTTACGACACAACGAGATAAATCGTCGCTAGCAGGCAGTTGTCTTCGAAGCTTGAAAGATTGCTCCCATAACCAATTGCAGAGCATGACTTTACTTTTAATCATCTACTCTGGAAACTAACACGAATCAAAACAAAAGATCTGTTAATTTTTACACGAAATTAACTCGTTCCTATAATCGAAAAGGAATTCTAACTCGAACATTGGAGTTTGATATATTCGCAACACGATAACAGGGAGCGTTATATCCAAAGCACATCTCTCCGCGTATGTCGACCCTTGCGTATACTATTTCCACCTTACATAGTCAAGTATATACGTACATAGAGCCGTGCGCATTCGTACAGAAACGCGAGTAATTTAAAATGCGATTATTCGGAGGGTGTCCTTCGTAGGGGTAGCATTCGTTGGTGGACATAAGAATAGCTAATACGGAAATGGCGAAGGAAAGCTGAGGGAGGGAAAGAGTTGGCAAAGAGGAGAAGGAACGGGAATAGGGGGTGGTTGGATGGCTGCCATTAAAAGATTTCATCCCTTCCCTCTCTTGCCCGTGGCACCCATATATAAGGGTGAGTAATCTGAGAGCCACCCCTCCTTTCTTATTTTCCTTCCTTCTTTTTCTCACTCTCCTCCTTCCCCTACGCGTTCGCGACCGATCTTCTTGGTATACGTTCACGAACACCCTCGGTGCTCGGGCACTCACAGCAAAGCAGCCAGTCTCCTGTATGTATGAATTAGAAAGAGGGCCTCTTGTAAATTCAGAGAAACTGTGCATAGATTTTATTTTCATACCTCTGTGCTGTATCGCTTATTTATGCGAGCACACGTCTTGAAAGTAGAATTTTTAATAACATCATTTTATATACAATTGGTTAGAGAAATATTCAGCCTCTTTAAGTGTCGAGCAAAGTTTCTTTTAAATTATGATTGATTAATTATACAAATGCAACTTCTTTTTCAAATTTAAAACAATTCTTTGAGAATATTTTAAAGTAAGAATGCAAGAATCTGAGTAGGAGTTGAAAATGTGAACAGGAGACCATTGCGGAAGCGTTTCGTGTATACGCGCAAACTGTTCTTGGCATTCAGAAACAAAAATTCCTCTAAACAGAAAAAGCGCTATAAAGAAAATGGACAATCGGTTTTTTAAATAACCGTAATCATAGATATGAAAGAACTTTCTTTTAAAGTAGAAATAGTTAAGGGGCTACACCTAAATCATACGCAACTCTTCTACCATTCAATACGTTCAATTACACTATACACTTCCAGGTTCTACTTAATGGTATTTAAGTTTGCAATAAAAAGCAGCTGACGTAGCACCGTTTACATAGTAGATGCAACTAAAAGACTGAATCGTGGTAGGACCAACACCAGCGCAAGAAGATGACACAGGCTCGCATAAGTTGAAGGAACGAAAACGGGAGATCGCAGACACTAGCTGCACCTAAGGGATACGTAAGACCAACACATACGTACGGATTACAGAGGGTAGGATTGGCAGCTCTGATCAATATTCGATTTTTGAAATATCTTCCCCACCCCTCGTTTCATCGACGTCCTCGGCCTCCCCTGAACGCCACCCGCCTCTAACCATCACCAAACACCGCCACCCCTCGCGGAACGTTCCTCGAAAGCTCGATACTCCATTTGTATTTTTAAACTGGAATTCCTATACACGTACGTTCGTGTACACACCCACACCCGTATATATACGTACATAGGAGACGTACCCAGACAGCGACAGAGGAAAGCGTCCTGCTACCACCATCGCCATTCGCCATCACCATTACCACCGCCCCCGGCGTCGTCCTCCGTTACTCTCGTCTCCCTCAACCCTCTTCTTTCTCTTCTTCTTCATCTTCTTCTTCTTCGTATTCCTCTCCTCGTTCACCACCCACCCGCCCTGGCTATCCTTCTCTTCGCTCTCTTCTCGCGAGATCTCTTTCTTTTTTTACACCGTATGTGCCACCCACACACTCTTAACGAGTCGAGTTAAACGCGTGGATGGGGTCCCGTGTGATCAAGTGTAAGACGGTGTTCCCTAGTGTGCGTGAACGAATGGAACACGGACACCGGGGGCATACTACGATCCATCGGAATTTTAAGGAAATAGAAGGATACTCGGTGCATACCATTGGTATGTATTATAGTAATGCGATGCTAGTATGTAACACTGCTTGCGCTGGTATACGTTTCCGTCAACGTGTGTACACGTTGCAGGGACGGTAATATCGGTCGAAGGAGAAGTGCTATAAAGGTGACAAAATTCTTTTCACTTAAAAATGAATTCCTTAAAATCCAACAATCCTCAATAATTACGTACAAATTGTGATTAAACCCTTAGTAGACCGCTGCTCATCAGTGTTCAGAGAATATGAAATTTTTTTGTTATTAGCGTTAGTAGTGCATCGTGAATATAGAGGCACTGTTAGGTCAATTTTCAGTTTTCCCGAGACGTGAAAATAGATTTCACCGTTTTTGTGTATCTTTATATACGTCAAACTGACGCGGACACAGTCGCGTTCACGTATACCATATATAAGTTTTCCAGGCTTGTATGCTAGTGTTTCTTCAGCAATGGAGGGATGCAGACACCTGTATTCGTACACATAGGTACCTATACTGGTTCTTCTTTGCCTGGCGAATTGGAATTTCTTGCCGCGGATAGAATTCTTTTGCGAGAATCACGCGACGCCCACGACATACAAGACGTAGGTGTCAGGTTGCTAAAACCTTATGCGCGCACATGAACGTTAGCTCTCTCTCTTTGGTTAAACAAATGTAACAACACCTTCGAATATTAGTTACGTAGACGTTTCAGCGCAGCAAAATGATGAAAAGTTGCATAGATAAATCTTTCTAATTTTCATCTTTATTTCGCGTTGAGCCAGACGGTAGAGACAGTCATATCTGGTACGGCATTATACAGTAGCTGCTTGATAATTCCCCGCCTTCGGGGATGATTAAGAATTATCTAGCTGCTGCTCTATGATATTCTAAAAAAAAAAAGATAATGACTGTCTCAATAATTTAATACAAAAAGGCTAAAATTGTTTAATAGACATCGCGCGCATTCCAATGCTCCGTTGTTGCGAGCGGATGCACTTTGCGCAACTGCGGGCCGAGGTTTAACGGTGTAGCAGCGCGTGCAATTAATTAAACGGCGGCGCAGCATTGCTCATTAGCCGGCGTCGATTGGCTGCCGGCCGGTCACGTGACATCTGTGCCGGCGAAACGAACGGCACAGAAGGGTAGAGAGGACGCGAAAGGGGGGTGTTGGTTAGCCGGCTTGGGGGGAGAAAGGGGACCAGGCTCGCTGCGAAGCGCGGATAGAGGGGTCAGTGGAGCAGAGAAGGCAGCACTGCACTCGCTCAGTTGTTTCTACTGGAGAGCCACGCCCTGCCCCTTTCGCGCTGAACCACCAAAGGCGGATACTACGGGATTAATTAAGACGCCCACCAACAAATGATATCACGCCGTTTCCTCGAACTCGCTTCACCCCCGTTTGACCGGCCAAGGTATTAATTAGGAGAGCCAAGGGCGAGCGGTCTGATTGGAGGTTTCTTTAGGGTCTCCTCCATCATTGGCTTTGCGCGGACCTTCAGGAACGATCATTCAACTTAATCTTTCTAGATTTTCAGCTCCTATTAAGGGAATTTATTTTTATATCTGTTTTACTTCCACTTTAATAAATGGCAGAATTTTGCAATTGACTTCAAGTTCTTGGGGATATTTGAAAGACATTTTATACTTAGTTTTAGAGTTTTTAATAACCGATTTATTACTTGCAATATACTTATTTTAGAAAGTTAAAACAGTAAGTGTTCGATATCTTCCTGCATTGTAAGTTCTGAAGGTGGGTCTTTCTAAAAAAGAGGGAACTAGCAAATACTTACTATACTATGTCAAAATTATTCTTTATATGGTCATTTTCACGTTTGGTGTGCAGGTGCTTTTATTATTCTATCTATTTTTGCCCTTAAAATTTTGTTTAGATATTATTGACAATATATTTATAACGGAAATTAAAATTGTCTATTTTTATGGGACAATTGTTTAGTACTTCTATTTTATAAGCAACTTCTTCAATACATATATACATAAAGACTTCCAAGCAAATTGCATAAATTCATCTTGAAGAGAAGAGCCACCTAATGAAACGGTGAATCTGTAGATTAGATTGCCACTCGTTCCAGCTAATCACGTAATTACTTTACCCAACTTTAATTTTATCCTTAATTAAATC